TTGAAGGAGAGTGGAGTTGGTTGAGGTGGGCATCTTAGTTTCACCGGTCAGGTACCCTAGTTTGCCTTTTCCATCAACAATAAGTTAGATAGATTGGGCCCACTCATGAAAATTCTTCCCATTCAATTTTTCTACCGTGAATTGGAAGGATGAGTTTTCAATTTCTCTTGGATTCGTGGTAGATGTTGCTTCCAATTCACTGTTGTATGATTTGGAGGTTGTTGAACCTGTGTTATTTCCGGCTACTTTAGCCATATTTTGACTACGTTAGAAAATATCTTGGCTCTTATCCCATGGAGAGATATTGATTTCTTTTATTTCTCAATAATTTGTACAATGAAAGGGTCCATATATATAGTACAAGGAAAGATGTAAAAAAAGAATAAATTCTAATCCCCTAAAGCTAGTAAGAAATCAATCAATATATAATATACAACACTAATTATGGTAAGAAGGATTTCCATCAATTTTTTTCAATCAATCCAGCTCCTTCCTATATTAGTTCCGGGATTTCAACAATTTGACGTTTCAATTAACATCATTTACCTTTCCCCAAATCAGGAGAATGCAGGTTCTGAGAATAAAGTAATTGTCGCTGTAAAGCAGGGAAACTTGCTAGCAACTGCTTTTCACCCTGAATTGACTGCCGATACTAGATGGTACACATCTTCTGCCGATGTATTGAATGGATATGTAACAGTACCTATACCTTGACGTTCTCTTTTCTTGCAGGCATGGTTACTTCTTGAAGATGGCAGGTGGCATAAGCGAAGATGCTTCAAGTAGCAGTATCTCCCAATCGACCAAGGATCAACATTTTTTAAAGCCACCAATATATGACCTTCCTATTTATCAACAACAGTGACAAAAGAAATAACAATACAAGATCAGACGAGAAATTCCTTAATCTCTTCACTTGTTTTTTATTTCCGTTATCATTATTTATGGTGATGTCTACTTAGGCAGGGTATTCAATGTCAGAAAGCCAGTCCATCGCTACCAAATTCTTCTACATTCAATAAACTTCTTTTGAAGTGGAAGGGCAATGTTAGTTTTCTAATATTTGGTGCAGTGCGTGTGAAGCGCTATACTGTTCTTTATTCTCTCTTAGAAAACAGAGGTTTTGCATTAGCCAGTTCACTCCTTTCTGTTTCTTGGTTATAAATTTGATTATAATGAATTTTTTCTCCTAAACTGAAAGCAGGAGATTGAGAGCATGTCTGGCTAAGCTTGAAAGGTCAAGTTATAAGAGTAAGTTTTAAAACAATTATATTTTTACAGGTTGAATATAATGAAATTGGACCTGCTATCCATCAAGGCTCCCACAGGATAGCCAGCAATGGGGCATGCCCCTGAACACCCAGGTCGATGCTCCAGCTCTGAGCCGGGCCATCGGGCTTACTCTTATAGTAACAAGGACTTGTTTGGCATGACTTTTGTTTTCTTGTCTGTAGAAGAGTTTTTGAAAAAATTATCTCAATTTTGTTTGAAAATTAATTTTTAAAAGAGTTCTATTTCAAAAGTATTTTTAGAGGAAGTCACATTGAATCAACTATTCTAAAAGTTCTAACTACCTCAGGCAATTTCATAAAATTAGACGAACGGATCCAATTCATTTCGACTTTTCAAAATTCATACCAAAAGGGACCTAAGTTGAGGTATTTGTTAATTTTTGTTACGATGAAAGAGGGAGCAAGAAACGGTTCAATTGCCTATACCCTTTCTTCATCAAGAGAGTTTGGGCTTCTCTTTTAACTTCTTCAAAGGGTAACAATCCAATACTTGTGCTACGGATAGTACTTGTTGGTTTATTGAAATGTGCACTTAGAAATTTAAGTTTGATAAATTTATTAAATTGAGGTTAAGCCATAGAAAATGACGCACAACTTGAAGCACGTAAGTTCCACTCTATTCAATTGATTAAGTTTGCCTCTTTTGGTACCTCTCACGCTGGCCATGGCGAAATACATAGATGATGACCCATGTGCTCTCTTTTCTTCATTTTTCTGTCTTCGTCCTTTCCGTAACTTCTACTATGTGCTAGGTATAATTTTCCAGGTTTTGCTTAGATTGTTAACATTGCCTTACGCTGTACCGCCCTTCTTTAAGATAGCAACGCATTCACACATTAACATGTTCGATAGAAAATAATGCACTACATGCCAAACACATAGCTCGTGGTCTAATGGGTTTTTTTTTTAAGATTTATAGATTTCCCACAAGATTTTAACAAGATTCTATCTTATAGATTTTAATGGATTTGTTGAATTTTAATGATTTTCTTACTATCAAGTGTTTATTACAGAAAATTCATAATTTTTCATTTAAAAGAATTTCAATTTGTAAAATCATTTAAATAAATATCATTAAACTATATCAGTCAATTTTTGAAAAAGTGAACAAAATTACAATCTACAAAATCAAGAAAATATTGCCAACGAATTAAAAATCAATTCAGCCCTTGTTTGTTCCAATTATAAAATATAATCGTAATAAATCCCTTTTTTTTTCCGTTTATATGGGTGTTTTCCCAATTATGCAGTGTATCTAACTAAGGATTTTTGTGGTTCTCACTTCTCAAAATTCGAATTAGAGAAAGAATCCGGAATGGAGTTATTCACCTTGTTGTAGTTATAATATTGTTCAAAATATATGTTGGGATCAATTGACCCAAATCAGAATATTATACTCAGCAGTGTGAAAAATTGAAAAATGCAGCAATCAAAAACAGTAAATTAAACTATTGCACTGCAGAAAATAAATAGACTGCAAGAACTTTAGAATTGTTGACCCAGTTCAACTATGAGCACTAGTTAAACTGTCCAGAGAAAGGGAAAGTGCAAGAAACCAAAAATCAGATCTAGATTTTTGGCCAAGAACTACAACACCAGTGTATTTCAGCTCCTAAACACCAAGAATCAATCCTAATCGAACTTTACAATAAATCGAACATAGTTACCTAATCAACTCGGCCACAAAACCGACATAAGGCAACTATACAAGATCGACCACTTAGGGTTACAACTCTTTTTCAAGATCACAACCACAAAAATCGAAAGTGAGAAGAGAGGAATTTTCTGAGAGTGCTCAGGAAAGAGAACCAGAGAGAACCTTGAAGCTAAAACAAGTTGAACTGAATGAATCTCAAAAGGCTAACTCCAAAACACGTATTAATGGTCAGATTTCATCCACATAGGAGGATATCATCCACAATGTAACCCAAAAATGTACTACTAGCATGATTGAGAAATAATTTTAATACAAGTATGTCAAGTTTGACATTGTATGAGATGACAGCTTTTTATCATTGATTTTAATAACACTTTTCAATCAATTGCCAAATTTCATCCACATAGAAGGATGTCATCCACAACGTAACGCAAGAATGTACAAGTTGCATAATTGAGAAATAATTTTGCTATAGGTGCATCAAATTTGATATTGTGTAACGTGAAATTTTTTGCATATTGATTTTAATTAAAAAAATTTCGATCAATGGTTAGATTCATCCACATTGGAGGATGTCATCCACAATGTAAACCAATAATGTACAACTAGTATAATTGTAGGAATAATGCTATAGGTAGAGAAATTTCACAGAAATCATATAGATGGACACTTGGCAGATTATTATTGAAAGATGACAAAAATATTAAAAATGAAGCTACTATATAGGTTGGGGTGTCAATGAGCTGAGCTGCGCCGGCTCGAGCTTTTTTAAGGCGGGCTTTTTTTGACCCAAGCCGAGCTAAGCAAAAGCTCGGCCAAAAAATTAAGGCTTGACTTGAGCTTTGTCTGAGTCGAGTCGAGCTCGATTTTCTGAATTTTTTGAAACTTCTTTTTCCTTCTAAAATAGCTGCCAAATAGGCAACAAATTTTTAATTTTACTTTTTTGTTTTACGGGCCTACCCGGCTTGAGCCAACTCCCAAAAATGGGGCTCGGTGCCTCTGAGACTGAGCCCAACCATGGACAGTTCGATCCGGTCAGCCCGATTGCCATCCATATATATAGGTGTTGCCATTTTTGTCTGTTTTTCCTGAACTTGGGGAAAAATTGTAATTGTAGAAGAAAGGAAGCACAATCCAATCACATATAAATCAGCCAATTACCAAATGTGGACTCAGTTAAAGAAGTGTCGTTTTAATAAAACAGGTCTTTTACTTTCAATATAAATATAAATCAACAAAACTTTTGTTCTTGTGATATTTTATATTTCTCTAACTACTTCAAAGTAATTATGTTTGCCCATCTGCAATAATTCAATATCTTCTCACACCTAATTATTCTTTTTTTCCACTTTCTAATATTTATCTAGAGGAATAACTCATACTGTATGAGTGATACTATCAAAAATGGTATTTTTAACAATAAATTTTTCGTTAACCTTCTCTTGGTGTTTTAAAATATGAAGAGCAAGATGATCACAGATTTGCCAATATAATTAGGAATTGTCTCTTTACTGAGTTTCTTTTCAGGCTTAAAATCAAAGAAGAGATTTATGGTGACGAACAAAGGGTGAAGAGTACCGTTGTCAAGGCAGAAAAAGTGAACTATGCAGTAGAGAGTAGATTTATGCTCAATTTGATTTTGAAATTTTGAACCCATTGAATAATGGAAGGAAATAAGCCGATTCGTTCTATGGTGTTTATTCTTTAGGAAATATTGACCCATATAGTTGAGAAACAATGTCAAATTTGTAAAAGATTTTATTCATTTACTTGGCTGATCATACTATTTGTATTGCCATGAAAATGTACATCACATCTGAGACACTAAATCAGAACTTCAACTCCAGCGTGGATGCAGTTGATTGTGAATCTTTATCAGTGTTTCCCTTGCAAAAGGGTATTATATTTCCTTTTTTCTTGATATATGAAAGGAATCGGGTAAATTACATCTAGAAGAACATGTATTTTTTTGCAGGTGAATAGCTCGATCAGATGAGTTCTGGTGTTTGCTAGCATATCTGTTGTGATTTAATTGGCTTAGTAAGAGTTGATGGAATGAAAATTTTTTACTATTAACCATGGATATATTATGAATACATTTGAAAATGGATACGCAGGGAACATAGAAACATAGATGACATCATTTTTCAGGTCCGCTTCACAGGATCAAAGTTGGAAACACCAATAATAGCCCAAAGAATTGCACCAAGAACGAATCCTCCGGCTACAATACTCAGCAAGAAGTTCTTGAGGGAGGGCAAAACACCAGACACAGCAGCCTCAGCTCCATCAGGAATGATCATCAAAGCAGTCATTGCAGCTGCTGTCAATCCGGTAACTGCTTTCTCCTTAAGCGAAGCCTTAATTTCAAATCTTCCAACAGGTTTTGATGCTGCTATTGCCTTTGATTGCCTCACAGGTAATGGCTTGAAGAAAGAACACAGGCTCGGATGCTGCTTTTGGGTTGCCTGAGCCAACTGCAGCGCCATAGATGCTGCAGATGTGGAGGCCATTCCTTGCTCTTCAGTTTCTTTCACTCAGGTAAGTTTCTTGCTCTAGTGTTAAATGAAATGCTCGTGTTATGAATATTGATAGTAGTGAGAGATAAGTGGAGAAAGTATTGGGACTGAGGTGTAAAATTGAGAGTATCATAACTGAGAGGTGGAAAATTGTGAGTATCATACTCTATGTCCTACGTGGCTGCTTCTCCTCTTGGTTGGGGTGGATTAGGTTATCTCATTGCAATTACCAGAAGTCTACATAAAATCAAGAGCCATTTTATGGCACTCGGATTTATTGGTCTGGGTTATTAGTGTTGCGAACTAGGTTCTAGGACCTTTATTCGGCACGTCTGGCTGGCCACAAATTTTGGACGGTAGTTACATATTGTCTTCATGGGCCAGTCAACTCGTGTCTTGGGCTATCGAAAGACTGAAACGGCCTGTGTCTTGTCTAATGGAAAGTTAGTTGGGCTGTCTGAGGATGTGGAAGCCCATTCTGCTTTACAGCGACTGGATAGAGTATATCTTAATGAAGTTAAACAATAAAATTGTTCAAATTTAAGTTAATCAGTTAATGAGTGTAAGAAATGTTCCCAAAGTTCATATCGAGTTGACTTCCTATCAATATGGTGAACCGAACTTTAGAAATTCTGTATTTAATGTAATTTTTTATTTAGCATTTGTTTGGGCCCCCATATTTTGAGAAAATGTTCTGTATAAAATGATTTTTTTAGAATGTGATTAAGGAGGTTTGTGACGATTTTTCAATATTTTCTACTAGGTAATGTAGTATCCTTGTGCATGAAGAAAAGAGAATTATTGGTTCAGTTCCGCCTTTACCCCCTTGGGGGCTGGGGGGAGAACTACCGTAACAACAAGAATAAAGGATTCATCAAATTCCCTTGTATTTTCTCTTTCATATTTGATTTCTTAATTCGTCCCGACCAGTTTTGAGTTTATGTGCAAAATTATTTTATTGAGAGAATATGTGATTAAAAATGAGTTCTAGAAAATAAAGCTCAAATAGGGCTTAGTTTCTCGCTTGAGCAGAATTTGGCAAAATATTAATGCTAAAATACATTAAAAAAATAAAAAAATTGACCAGTTTGTCTAAGCAACTCATTCCAAACAGAGTGAGTTTGTTCAAAAAAGGGTTTGCAAAAGAGTGGTAGGTGAACTTTTGCACAATACAATGAAGTTCAAGATAGATCTGACAAATTGATTGTATTTTATATTAACGAAATCAATCATAAATCATAGAATGCTCTCGTGTGTAAAATAAGAGAGAAATTAAGGCGAAGATCACAATGGTGTTTTGGAATCTAGAGAAGTTCTCTATATGTTTAGCTTTATTGGGTTCATAAATGGAATTCAACAATTAGATTTAGCCTGTCGTCACATAATTAATTAGATTAAATTCAGACCAAAAGCTATTAATCATGATAATCAAATAACATTGTCCTCGGATCAATGAAATATGCAAACACGGGTAATTAAACACTCTTAAAGAGATTGCAATTCTGTGATTGCAAAATCCTTCATTTGATGACCTTGACTTTTATCTTATCTCAATTCAATTTTAATATTTATTAAAGTTTTGTCTTCATTTCATACTGATTACTCAGACTTACGAACAAATTCTATTTGCTATAAAATAATTAGTTGATGGAAACATTCTTTGCCATTACATGAATCCTCAAACCTCAATTACACACCGACGTTTTCATCAAGAAATCCCAGCATATCAAACCATGGAAGAGCCTCCAAGCCCCTATATGTGACCACCGACCTCACCGGCACTGAACTCAAACTTGACCGTGTTGTATCATGGCGTTTTCATCGCCGGGACAGCTGCAATTGTTCTTGTGTTGTACAACTTCGTCATCATAAAATGGTGCTCAGATGACTCCCACACCAGGCCAAGACAGAATAATTCGTGGCCGCGGAACTACCTCAACCCCAAGTTTTGGTGACCCTAGGATAAACTCAATGACAAACTTCAAGTACAAGAAACGTGGACTAGCACAAGATCAGGGGCGAACCCACATGGGGTCATGTGGGGTCAAATGACCCCACAGTTTTTTGGAATTTTTTTTTTTTTTTTTTTTTTTTTTGTTTTTAAAACTTTAATTTTTTTTTTTTTTTTTTTTTGTGCTGAAAACTTAATTTTCTGTCCCCAAAAAGTCCAAATCTTAAATCTATATCCATATCACATGGTCCATATCCATTATTTAGTCCATAGATATATCATATAATCCACATTTTTCTTCCCAAAGTGCAAATATCGAACATGAACAGCAAATAACTGATTTTTCCTTTTTCTTCATGATACGTTGTTCGAAAAAAAAAAATTTGACCCCACAATTCGAATTGTCTGGGTCCGCCCCTGCACAAGATAAAGATCAAGGTAATGATTATGAATGTGTGGTTTGTTTATCGGAATTTGAAGAAGGTGAAGAAGTAAGAATGCTACTGAGACATAAGCATTCTTTTCATACTCCTTGTGTAGATATGTGGCTCTACTCTCACTCTGAGTGTCCACTTTGTCATTCCCCGGTTGGGCAACCGGTTTCCCATTGGAATTTTACGGGGAATTCTAATGAAGGATTGCTACATGCCAGCAGGGTATAGTAAGGTTGTGCATATCATGCGATAGCTGTGTGTGGGCCTGATATGCTTTTGAGGAAAAAAGGATGATGATATTCTTTCATATGATAATTTGGCGTCGAGGGTGTCAAATTACTGTGCAGATAGATAGCATACGTGAATATATTAGGCTTAAGAGTCAACAATTCAGCTTGCGGAATGAAAAAGAATCAATGAAAGAGTTGGGAAGGTGAAAGACAGCCATCATCACTTTCTCCTGATTCTTCAATAGTTTACAAGATAAAATCTGACGCATTGAAAGGAAAGGTTACCAACTTAGGCCAACCTTTTCTTCTCCTCTCAACTTTGGCAGTTGAAATTACTAGGATTTAGATGATTTGTATCTTCCACAGTAAAATTAACCGAATGGAAAGGCTAAAAGGTAAAAAGTAACTACGTAGCCTACTTTAAATTTATCAAGAACAAGGCTTTGTTTGCCACACTTGTACCATAATCCATTTTTTTTTAATCACGTGTTAAATAACAGATCACAGACCCTCAAACTGAATTAGGATTCCAAAGTTCCATGTATATCAATCACCCCCATCGGACGACTAGTAACCCATTTGCTCGAGTGAGGTAGGGCAGAGCGTCGAACATTTATCAAATACTAATATTTAATTAATTTATATTAAAAGAATCTCCAATCAAACCTATCAAAAAAAAAATCTCCAATCAATATATAAATGCACTAAAATGTAAAAATAATATAAATATTAAAATATAATTCAATACAATCCACAATAATAAGGAATAAAAATACAGTTTTTGAATCATATACATATTATCAAGTTTCAAATTTTTATGAATTTAGGCGAGACAAGATGAAGTTTATATGTAGTGATTAATCGATAAAGACAAAAATTTAAAAACAATGAATTTTAGATCTATTTTTGCCCCCAGAAAGAAAAAGTATTTTTCAAACTCTTAGAAGAACAAAGAATTTTACAAAATAAATCGATAAAACTTAACAATTAAAGTATATATTATGAAGTAATAATTTCAGTCAATAAATTTTTAAAGCAATGATTTTTAAAGCTATTTTTACCCAAAAAAGAAATCCTTCTTTCAAACTCTTAAAATAATAAAGATTAGTACTTAAATTGTCCAAATTTGAATTTTACAAAATAAATTGATAAAATCTAATAATAAAAGTATACACTATGAAGTAATAGTTTGAGTTAACAAATTTTTTTAAAGAATTTTTTTAGAAACAAAAACTATTAATATAGAATTGTTTAATTATTATTTATTGTGTTAAAAAATTAAAAAGAAGAAGAGGAGTTGAAGGGAATCGAATCCCATACCTCTGATATGTTAAAAATGGACTTCTCAATTGAGATACAAAACTATATCAGCGTTAATTAAAACAAAATAATATACAATTATTTAACTATTATTTATTGTGTTTGAAAAATTAAAAGAAGTGAAAAGGAGGGGAGTCGAACCAAGTGCCTCTAACTTGCAAAACCAAAGCCTACCAAATGAGCTACGATCATAATTGTCAAAGATAGTACAATTTTACACATTTATCAAAATAGCTTCATTAACATGAAATTCCTTTCCTGCCGAAGTTAGCACGGGCGGCCGCGCCGGCTCGCCGAGTGCTGGCTCCGCCCCTACCCATTTGCATATATCTCTGCCTCTGCTCTGATATAGCATGTCCCAATATGCACATTATTAAATCACCTTACCCAAGCCTAGACTTGAGAGAACAAATTTGTTTGGTTATATTGCATCCTCAATGCGTCTCATTACATCTAAGTCATATTCATTTTTCACAAAAAGACCTCATGCACAATTTTCATAATTTGGTAGCGGCAAGATAATTAGTTTGGTACACCTAATATCGCACTGAACTATCCATTTAAAAGATTAAACTATTAGAGAGGGAAAACTTGTTTACCTAAAATTATTTGCAACATTAGCAAAGCCCAAGATACAAAAATCTGTGAACGCTCATATGGCACATCTACCGAAGAGGCAGGCATGCACAAGGCAAGCACGGCAAGTGAAAGATAGATAGCACCTATTGGAGTTTAAACCATACTGTGGAGGACTAAACAAAAATAATTCTCCATTTTACATGTACGCTATAAAAAGGGAAAAGAGTTAGTGTACTGCATACTCATTATTGAGGCATCAAGCTGTACCAAATCACAAAGTTATAGGATCATCTTCACAATGTTACAAGCCACATAAAATGCTTTTACACTAGAAAATTTCTATTTACAAGTAGTTACATCTTTCTCAAATTGTCTAACCTGGCCTGCAGGTCACTGTCTATCCCACCGTCATCATTTCCTGTCGCTTCAGCTTGTGGAACCTTATTATTTGCAGCTGGGGCAGCTACAGTGGAGGAGGGTGCATTAACAAGCTGCATTAATAGGAAAACGGATTCATCAGCTTGTTGAAGAGAACCACGATGATATAAGTCTAGAAATGGATAATGGAAAATATACCTCAGAATTAATGTCAATTCCAATCTCATCAAGAACTTGATTCACTAACTCTTCCGTCTCTTCTTCTTCCTCGTCTCCTTCCAAAGCATCGTCAATGGCATCTCCCATGACTTCACTAGTAAGTTCCATCTTCTCATTCTGCCTTTCAAATTCTTGCATTATTTTCTGCAAGTTTGGTAAATTCATCTGCCTGTTCATTTGGCCCATCGCCTTTGTGACACCTTTCATTGCCTCCCCCATTGCTTGTGTAGATTTCAACGTCTGAAATGTGCAACTGTAGTTAATAAAATGACAAAAAAGGTGCAACTTAGAACGCAGAAAATAGGTAAGAAAATTATTCACTAAGACAAAACACTGCAAAATAAATTTGTTCTTTCCTCATCAATCCTTTTGCTGAAAGATGGACAGAAAATAATCCAATTTTGGTCCAAATGGAATTAAAATCAGAATCATGGGCAGCATATCAAACCATGGAAACCAATTGCGTTGTCCAAAACTAGTCAAATGAAGAATTATGATATTGTTTGCGAGATCCCATGACTATGATACTGATCCAAATACTCTCAAACTTGTGTACCAATGTGTAGTTAATTGACCCAAGGCCAGTCAATAGCAAGACCTACGTTAGTGACCAGATATTCAAATTCAAACCTTCTAAAATCAAGAACAAAATTATAAAACACAGCATACAAAAGGACTCAAGTGATTCATGGAAGAGATGATCCTGTGCGTGAACATATCAAAACATTATTTAAGGCACCTGGAAAATATCCAAATTCAAACGGACGCCAGACTTCCCAGTTAAGGGGAGAAGGAGAATCAAATCAATGCATACCTGGATTCTGAGGGACACGCCTTGTAGTTGCGATTTGAGCTTGTAAAATTTTTCTACCTGATGTCGTGTTCTGATAAGATCTTTGGCCATCACCTTGACAGCTCCCTGAAACAAACCCACTTGAAATCAAACCTACCTTTGAGTACTAGGCTCAAAACTAGTTACATATAAAGGTAGGTTCAAACCCACCTCCCTGATTTAGCTATCACAGAGATTGTCTTCCAAATAATAAGACTTTGTTAAAAGCTTGGAATAACAAAATGGCAACAAAAAAACAATATCTTGTCAAGATAGAATGATTTTAACTCAACTAAAAATGTCTTCATGGGAGCGGCCTGGCCATGATTACAATAAAAACAGATGGGACTCAGGGGAGGAAAGAGATATTTACAGTTATACAATGTAAGAAGCCACAAGGACATAATCTAGAGAAAGCAACTTACCATCTGCCCTTGCTTTGCACTTTTTTTAATCTCTACAATTAGTTTCTTTTCTTGTGCTTGCAAACCCTGTCTCTCCCTCTCGATTTCCCGGATGGATTTATCAAGCATCCTCTTATTCTCCCGCAGGAGCTCTAAGAAATATTGTGTAGAATTTCAAATGAGAAAGTGGCTTACCCAGAATATTAATGAAATTAATCATGGTACATACATTACAAAATAATACCACCTAACCTCAATTCTGACCAGGATAATTAGTATGCCAACTCATTTATAATATCAAAATTACAGTAGTCACTTAGAATGGAAACAAAAAGCATAAGTGTTGTGACTCACGTAAATAACAACCAACAGTTTATATCCAGAAAAATGCACGAATTCATAACGAGAAGTTTTAAAGTCATACCTAAAAATGGACAAGCCATCCCCACATTGGTTCGCAAAAACATGAGATAGTGGGTGGGACAAACGGAATACAAATTTATTTGGCGTCTTGCTTTAGAAAAAATGGTCAGATAATAGTCAATCCTCGTATGGAAGGTTCACCATTCGTAGTTTTTAATGATCCTGTAGCTAAAATAGATCCTGCAGAAACCTTTCCTGTTTAATGAAATTTTTTGTTCATTTCTTACATTGATACTTGTGATGTTTTCACAAACACAGAATATTTATATGTTCTTTATAAGGTATACCAGCTTGAGGGCTCAACAAAAAATGTTCATGTAAAGTGCCACAAGAAGTTTGTGGTGACATCAAACCAATCGCAATGAATAAGAGTCTCATTGAGATGCAATGATGTGTTGTGGTAAATTTTAATAGACCATCAATCATCATTAAGATAAACTTTTATCTGCAAATACGATAGCTGCTCAACAAGCTTCTTGTCATTCGTTTTATCATAAAAGAAAATGCGAAAAAATGATATGATTTGAAGTTTTCTAAAAATTGTACAAAAAACTTCATTGTTCTTCAAGACAGAAAATCAAACAAAGAAAATTTACTTCAGCATTAAGTCGTTCCTCTTCATCTACATAATTATGAACTCCCACCAAATATCTTAATCTTCTCATACCGATAACCTTTGCGTTGTGAATACCATAACCATCCCAACAAAAATGCCCAAAAGTGACTGATCAATGAAACAATGAATCCACAATCAAAGAGCAACTCCTGAACCTTCTGTATAATAACACCTTAGTAAACCTAACAGTAATCAAATGGCACCTTAAACTTGCCTTCACAAGCATAACACACAAATTCAATTTAAACCCAATCAAAATAAAAGTTACATAACCTAACAAAAAGAATTCTATTTGATGATCCGCATCACCAGAAATTTTAAAGCAAAATTAGCTTCCTAGAATTCAGCTCTTGTTTACCCACTGATAAACAGATTACTCGAACCCCAAATTATATTCGATAAAAGAAGGTATTTCATTCTGATTGAAATATAGAACAAAACCGAAAACACACAGAAATAAAAATACACAAAACTCAAAATAAAATCGAAAAAGATAACCACAATAGAATCCATAAATCGTCAAATTATATTAGACTCAGTAGATGATGTAAATAAATAAGAAATTAATATACGGATACATAGAAACATACCTGCAGGAGTCTTTTTCTTGCCGAACAGGAAACTCATGATGATCAAATAATTGATCAAATACTTCCGCTACTTTCACTTCTCTCAGAAAAACGAAAATCTGTAACTTCTGCGTAAAATTCAAATTATGAAGATCTCGGAATTACAATTTCAATTATCAAAATACTGATTGTAAAAATATGGATGAATGGTCGTTGAAAGATTACTTTATCCTACCGAAACGCGGTACAGTGGCTATGGAATATGGGTATTGTGTAGACGCGGAGATGAATGGCGCATGTTTTTCCAAGCTTAAGAAAGACACTTATTTTATGTTAAGTTACCTTTTCAAAAAAAGGAAATTGAAACAAATAATACTAAAATATGACAAGTAACAATTGGAGCACTCTTTTGTCATCTCTTATAGTTCCGATTTTATAAAGGGCACACAACGTAAACCCTCCATCTAAAATTTACATTTCAAAATTAACAAACTTTTAAAAAATTTTCAAAAATAAGGTGATAATTAAATTTATTAAATATTTAATTATAATATAATATAATCAATCTATTTACCCCATTCACTTTACCTCCAACCACACACCCACCACATCAAACCATTCTCTCTCTCTCTTCACCCCACCCACTTCCAACGATGACTCCGACGACGATTTCAGTAACCTCTCCGGCGAATACTCCGGCGACCTCCCAACGACCGTTCCGATGATTGCTCACTTTTCCGATGACTATCTTTTTTTTTTTTTTTTGGCAATAACCTGTGACTAGTTCCATAGGATCTATGACCTGTTGTGATCTTTGACCAGTTTTATTGAATCAGTGACCTAATCAAGGTTAAATGAATATGCATATGATCAATTTCAAAATTAAGAAAATAAAGTTTGAAATTTCAAAAATCAAATACTATTAAAATTTTAGTTATGAAATAATTAATCAAAAAAATATTTTCGTAACTAAATATATTAAATTCACAAATTTTTTTCTGGGTAATATGTAATTTGTGTACATTGTGACATATAAAATATGACTTTTAACCCGTGATTTGTTATCTGTGACTCGTAACACAATATGTGATCTATAAATTTGATCCGTGACTTCTACAAAAGGACATGTGACCTGTTAATATTAATCTGTGACCTGTTTATACTAATTTGTGACTTGTGAACTCAAACATATGACCATTGAACTGTAACCTTAACGACGAATTGTGACCCGTAACGTATGAACTGTGACCTTATGTGTTCATGACCAAATTTGTATTTGGTGTGACTGTCTGTGACCATGTTAGTCTAATTTGTGACTATATGTAACCAAGTCACATACGGTCGTAGTTAACACAAATTTGGTCACACGCAATCACAATGAAGATGGATAAACATAACTGTCGATTTGCATTGCGCACAAATCTACACACCAGCACACAGATTTGTGCATGCCACGCACACCAGAGCATTCTCACTACCAACAAAACCACCACCACCAACGGTTCGTTGGCTGCAGAATCACCACCATCAACCATCGCTGGATGCACGCAGATCAGAACCACCACCAACCATCAGAAACACAAATCTTGACCACCAACCGGCAACAACTTTCTTACTCTACACACAAATTAGAACCACCAATACTTTGTCTACTATGAAACCCCTACTACCTTCGCTGGCTGTACGGAGAACAAATCCACCATCAGAAACATAGATCAAAACCAACAACCATTAGCCTTCTTACTCTACCCACAGATTAGAACCACGATAACCATAATCGGAGGAGGAGGTTGTACTACACTGGCGGAGCCATAATCGGAAAAGGAGATTGTACAACTTTTTTCAACCGGTCTCTGGACCTGAATTGGAACGTCAACGGGTGTTTTGGGGGAATTCGATTTCAAACTTAGATTGGGTGTGGGTGGAGGTGTCACAAACACAGTGTAGGGCCCGATCTTCCCGATTCTCGACGGCGACTTCCTTTCACTCTTGATAGACATTTTTATTTAATTAATTAACAAAAAATAATTAAATTCCATTTTACTTCACCTTTTCTCTCTGTGAAAATGGCGTATGGAACACGAGAAATTGATACTTTGCGTAGATTGGAAGAAAGTTGATATGTGTGTATAGAAGTAGTAATTCCCTTTTACTTGCCTTTTTCTCTTAGTGAAAATAGCGTATGGAACAAGAGAAATTTGTTGTGTTCGGGTGGTGATAGTCATGATTTTGGCTATGGTGGTGAAGGGGGAGGTGATACCGGAGGTGTGGCGGAGACAGTGATTCCCAGCGTTGGCTAGAGAGAGGAAAGGTGGGATAGAGAGAGGAGAGAAAATGGGAATGGATGAAAATATTATGGTTTTGGTGTGGGTAGTTGGGTATGGATTAGGTGGGATGAATATGTATATTTAATGTTGTGACTATATTTTTATAAGTTTTAATTTGTAAAATTTAATTAGCACCTGATTTGTGAAAATGAATCTTAATCCCTTGTTTTTTGAAAATTAATCTTTAAATGTTGGTTTCTAGGTAATTTTCCCTTTTATAAATCTACAAAATCATGCAAATAAATATTAACAAATCACAAATTAGTTTCATATGAAAAGTTGAATAAAATTACAATCTACAAAATCACGTAAATCGCTCTTTTCGTGTTTTTTTGGAAAAAAGACTAGAGTTCCCCTTGTGAAATAAAATGATTTGATTTTATATTTCTTTTTATCATCCTTGATGGAGGTCTATTTGACAAGGTTCGATTTAGTAGCTACATGGGGAGTTAGGGTGATGATCGCTCCCTTAAAATTTTTTTATTTTTATTTTTATTTTTTAAATATGCATATAATACAAATATATTTTGTCCATTCAACATTCCTTCGTCACCCTTGCGCGAATACTTACTAGTGGAAATTACACAGTACCATACTTTAAGTATTCAACATTCTAAAATCATATGGGAACTTTAATATTTCAAAAATCAGAAAAAAATATATTAATTATTTAATTTATAAACTAACCCTAAAATAATTTCCCCCAAACCATTCCCTCTCTACATCTCCCGCTCTGATCTCTCTCGCCTATGAAGAATGGGCAGAGTTGGCGTCTCTGTGGGCGGAGTTGGCGTCGCACCTCTGTTGGCTTCGCACTTCTGCTGTGGTTTCGGGAAGACGATGGTGTTGATGACGCGGCTGTGGTGATGTGAGCAACACTATTAGGTTCTGTGAACGAGGTGCTACTGATGAATGTGAGGCAGTGCTAGCGTAGCCGAATTTATGGTTTTGGATCTGTGGTGCCGTTGATGGTTGTGAGGCGATGTTGGCATGGCAATGAGGTGGTGCCAGATTTATGGTTTTGGATCAGTGGTTGTCGGTGGGGTTCGTGGTTAGGTATGGTTGGATTTGAGTTTTGGATTTGTGTTTTGGTGGTTGCCACTGTCATTGGTGGTGCGGTGCGATGTGTTTGGTGGGTGAGTGAGTGGTGATGTGCGGTGGTGGTGGGAACGGTGGTTGCGATTGTAGTGGCGGTGGTGGCGTGGTAGATTTGTGGAGTTCTGTGGTTGGTCTGTCGTGATGGTGAGATGTGGTAGGGATGGTTATGGTGCTGCGGCGGCGGCAGCGACGGCGGCAATGATGTTGATAATTTTGGAGTTGATTTTTTGTTTGAGACTATAGCGTTGTTGTCGGTGATGGTGCTGGTGGTTCAGGCGATGGTGTTGTTGAAGGGAGTGGTGGTTTGGTTGTGGTCACGTATTATTTGATTGATCGTGACCATTAAATTGGTTAATCTGTGATCAATAAACAATATGTGACCACTAAAAATGATAGATTATGATCGAGAATATTGTGTGACCTAAAAAAAATAATATGTGACTTATAATATTTGTGATCTGTGACTTATGTGACCAACAAACAAATCGTGACCTACAAAATTTTTGAATTATGACCTTAAAAAATCTTCATTTGCGATCGAAAAATAATTTGTAACTTATAAAATTTTTGATTTGTGACCAATAAATTGATAAGTGTGATTAAAAATTAATTCGTGACTAAAATTAATAAATAATACGTGACCTAAAAATTGTGTTTGTGACTTATAATTTATTGAGTTGTGATCGAAAAATTAATCTGCGACCTATAAAATTTTTGATTCGTGATCGAAAAATAATATGTGACCTATAAAATTCGTGTTTGTCACTTATAATTTATTGAGTTGTGACCGAAAAATTAATCTGTGACCTATAAAATTTTGATTCGTGATCGAAAAATAATATGTGACCTATAAAATTTTTAATTTGTGACCAAAAAATAAGTTATGACCAATAATATGATAAGTCGTGACTAATTATTTTTGGATTTGTGATCAATAAACAAACTGTGACTTACAAAATTTTTGAATTGTGATCATAAAAAAATTTATGACAAAATTTTTGATCTGTGATCAAATTGTATAGATTCGTGACCTAAATATATTTAATTAATAAAATAATTAATTAACTAATTAAATTATAAATAATTTTTAATAAAAATCTGATTTTAGAAATTTGAAACTTGTTTTCTTGTTTTTGAAATGTGCCATAATTAATTTCTTAGTTATGAAATTTTCCCTACTTACTATGCCACTAGTTCGACTCAAGTTAATAATCCATGTTTCAAATTATTATTTTTTATCAATTGACGTGGAGTAAAGAGCCATATACTCTTATTCGTCTAGGTTGGGTAAACCAAAAAATAAATAAATAAACAATAACTTGAATGTAGTCAAATGAACTATCTTGTTTGATTGAGAAGAAAATGAATAGAATGAGATTTCTTTTAGTCTTTATTTTTTTTTTTTAGAATTTAAACAAGTATCAACACACTGGTCAATTTTAACAAAATTTAAACTTTGTCAATAAATTTTACTTACAAAAGTCGTTAATGAATTATTGAAGATATCAACGAATAAAACTACTTTATGGATAAATTTCGTGGAAAATGTTGTTTTTATCGTCTTAGATAAGCCAAACGAATACCAAAAAATCCAAAATTGCAATATTTTCTAGGTGAAAAATTATACTATTCAAACATATTTAATTGACAATTTCTAATAAAGCAAGTTCAAGGCAATTTGATTATCTGGAATTCATTTTCTTTTCACCCAAATTTCATTCTTACAATCAAACGGGCCCTAAGCGTTGCTTTGGTAAGTAATGACTTGTGACCGTTGGATGATTTCAAATGTATTGTTATTTCATGAGGGTCCAAAAGATGTCTACTTTGTGCAAAAGTTGGTTTGCATGTGCGCCATAATGTCCTATTTTGACTTAGAAGATTCCCAATGGGGCCTTTATCTATCATT